AAGAAGTTCACAGTGTAACAAGTATTCCATAACATTATATTTCAGCATCCTCTTGCAAAATAATTTAATTTTATTACCTAAAATAATTAAATCATTACCTTTCGCAGCTTTCGTCGCTCTTCGATGGTTGTCTAATTGTTTTCGCTTCTGAGTTAATTTCACTTTTTCTGCACACCATATTTTTGTCTGGGCCGTCATTATGTGTGTTAATTACACGATTCTATTTGCGTGGGCAATCCTGAACATTCGGCTACTTGTTGACACGCATATCAGATCATTAACTAACGCAAAAGGATGCTGAAATAAAAAGAAGCTATCCATGTAACAGGTCACGAAGGCCCTTAGGTTTGTGAGATGTCGAGGCTCCCACATTATCTAGGCAATCGGCTTACAGATGTCGGTAAAGTTATCAGCCTTACGAGCCGGCCGCCATTTACCTCCAGGAAGATTTCTGATACTCATTTCTGTTAGAGGTTGAGTCCACCCCAGGGCCATAGTGCGGCTGGAAGGATTAGGTAAACTGAAAAATTCAATGACTTCATCGGGAATCTAAACTGTGACCTTCCGGCTTGTAACATAGTACCTGAGGCCGCGCCATAGCTCAAGCGGTTAGTCGCTGGCTTCCCATCGCGGCGGCCCGGGTTCGATCCCGGGTCTGGTCAAGTGGGATTTGTGGTGGACAAAGTGGCGCTGGGACAGGTTTTCTCCGAGTACTTCGGTTTCCCCTGCCAATCTTCATTCCACCAATTGCTCCACAATCACCCTCACCTATCATCGGGGTCTGGTACAATAGGTAAGAAGTGGCCGCAGTACAAGGGACTTAGTCCCACACCACTAGCAATAAAAAGAACACAGTACCTCAACCAACTAAGCTACCGCGTGTCCCGGATGTTGAAATATAATATTATGATGCAAGTCGCTCCACTCAAGTTTGTTCATGTTCAGGTAAGTTCAATTTTCTTTTAAATTAATATTTGAATAAGTTTAAAGATTAGAGTTAGCAGTTAAACTCCGTGAGTTATTTGTTGGAGGTTAGAAATTTTGTTCATTTAAAATTAAGAAGGTACGCATTTTGCTCACAGAGTGAAGCCTCTTCGTGTGAATGAAAAGTATTAACCAATCTGACCTTGCATTGAAGGCTGAATATATTTTCTGTGATTTGTTGACTGAAATGTTAAATCTGTCACGCATCCGGGTTTCCTTGGCTAATATGGCGGGCTTTGGATTTGATGATCGAATTTATTGGATCTTTATGAAACTGGTTACAGAAGTTCACAAATCACTATCTGACACTGTCATCTTGGTTGACTGGACACTCTCGTCTTCTGTTGTACCCCGTTGTACGCCTTCAGTTCTCACCTGAACTACGACTGACTTCTGGTTTACGGCTGGCTCAACTGTGATCTGCGACTGGCTGTACTTTCGAAGTCACAGTCAAAGTCACATTGCTACTGACGATCAGTCAGTCAGTCAATCAGTCAGTCAGTCAGTCAGTCAGTCAGTCAGTCTTTGTGTCCAGCACAATCTGGGGCTCATGACCAGATATTTATTACTCTTTGACACTTACGGTCTTGTTATTGTCATCTGAGTTTCCTGTTATATATCTTATCAGTATCCACGGAAACACCTGCTGAACACCTGTATACACAAAACGTCGTCTTGGTTTACAAGAAGCCAGCCCTACTGAAACGTGTTTGTCAACTCGATCCCTAGCAAAGATCTACATGTCTCAGTATTGTCACGTATAGGTGTGACTATAGACGGTGTTTGGATTGGTGAATGGATTTACTGACCACTTATGTACGAGTACAAGACTCATGTACACGTACAGAGCTGTCGCTAATCTCTGCAATTCACAAATTACCATAGTACCCGCTAAGAGCTTTCTACCCTGCCGTGTCTTCACCAGCCGTTCCTTGGCAACGACTTCTAGCATTGGAGATTCTTCAGCATCAGGAGCTCTAGTCATTACTCTCCGGCGAATATCCTGCAGATCAATTCTTTTCTTCACAGCCTCCCGTTAGAACTGCCTACTAAAGCCAAAGTCAAAGTCACATTGCGACTGACGGCCAGTGAGTCAGTAAGTCTTGGTGCCGAGACCCATCTGGGGCTCATGACCAGGTATTCATTACTCTTTGAAAGATACGGTCTTGTTTTGTGGAGCGTCCTCTCTGACGAGAGGTCGAGTCTGCCTATTAAATGACTTTGTCTCTTGTTTATAACATTTCAGCATGGATCACAGAAAAGACCCATTATCCATAGCTATAGTTCAACTGTTGCATCATTAAAATTCTCCTGCCTATCAATGGGAATATGTTTACCGAGCTGTTGCCTAAAATCGCTCTGGTATACCCGTCTATCTCACGATCATTGCATAGCAACGACTATACAAGTTGCTGTATAATGTTGCATTCAAAAGTTTGAATAAGAAAATGGGTTCGTGTAGACGTTTCTGCTCACCTAACAAAATAGACTTGCTGCCGGTATGTTCCTGGCTTCTACATTTATTCAGAGCAGTCATCTCACTGTCCTCCGTTCTTGTACTTTCGTAGACTGTAAATATGCCAGTAGTTGAAATCTTTCTTTCTAATTCCACGTATCCCCGACATATGTCATAAGTGCAAGCCTCAGAAGAAGAACACGCATGTGGAACTAAACAAATACTGTAGCCAGTAATTCAGAAAAGAATACATAGGCTGACAAACACGTCACGTCCACTTACACTGTTTTGTGTTCATGCACAGTTGATTCGGTAGATGTACGCAATCACTGAATCAAGATACTTTATTTATTAGTAGCAGTATGTAATATTCGCAGACGTTTCTTATTTACACGCAGGCTTTCTAAGTTCGCATTCTAGTGTATGCAGCCTGCATTTCATAGATCTGAAGGATTCGCTGTCACGGTGTCCATGACCGCATTCCAGCAGTGGTGGTCCCACCCCACAGGTTCCCACGTGTGCTGCACTGCTATTGCAGACTGTTAAACTGAAGTTATGAGCTCATGATTACCTCCAATGGCACAATGTCAAACTCAGGCCAGTTGTTCCCGACTTCAAATATGCAGGCTTCCGAACGGAAGGATAGATATCCCTACAGGTATTAATTTTTGCATATTATGCAAGAAATGTACGTATCTTGTCCAATTCTGAGATATAGGGAACAGGCAATATTCAGCTGACAAATACACTTCTTTTAAACTTGAAAATCTGTAACCATCATTACACGTAAAATGTCTGAAATATCTTTGAGGGTATATCATCGTCAGACAGCGAAACAGATCTTTGCCTTATTATGAAAACGTTAATTTTTTCTATATTTATTATTTCCTTCGGGTGGTGTGAGACTGAGTCCACTTGGTACGTCGGCCACTAATTGGCTTATTGTCCCAGCCCCAGGTGATAGATGATCAGTGTGAAGCAGTCGGTGGAATGAGAATTAACAGGGGAAACTGAAGTACTCGGAGGAAATCTGAACCGGCGTGACTTTTTCCAACACGAATCTAAGGTGACCTGAATTGGAATTGAAGTCGGGCCCCCGCGGTGGGAAGTCTGCGACTAACCGCCTGAGCTATCGTAGCTATATTCTGTTTTCAGCATAAGGTGGGAGCCAAACTCGCCGAACCGGTGATATTCAACACACAGGAATCTTTTTTCGAAGGGTTGCCTACTCAAGGCATTACGTGCTGCTACAAGCAGAAGTCTTTCACAAAATATAGAATATCCCTGGTTCTTATTCTGCTCCGAACTTATTAAATCAGTTAATACTGTGACGTATACACCCTTTACTAGGCGAAGATTTCGAAGCAAACAACGAGTACTGTCGTTGCTATGCAGTAGGCTGAGAGACTAACGACCGTTCCTGAACAACGGCACGGTAAACACGTTCCCTAAGAAACGATGTTTGGACTATCGTTAGGCAACCGCCCATAACAATAATAGAGGAGTGGTTCGAGGGGGTGTTTTCTGTTGAGTCCGCCCCGAGGCTATATAGAGAGCACCCGAAGCTGGCTGAGTGAATTCTATTGCGGTATATTTGCCGAAGGGTAAAGAAGTGAGAGTGGGAAGTTGAAGAATCTCCACTGCTACAAGTCATTGCTAGGGAACGGCTGTTGACACAGCAGGCTCGAAAAGACTTAGAGGATACTGTGGTGATCTGTGAATTGTGGCGATTAGCAGTGGCACTATAATTACTCGTAGTTCCGAGCGGTGTCTAAAAGTGGTCAATAAATCAAATTCACTAACCCAAACTCCAAAAAATACGAGACAGTATTATCACATATTGCTCAACTATCAATTTTAATATCAACCCTACTTAGACGCTTTGGTTCCAAAAGTAATTCTTCCAAATTGTACTATATGTAACATTAACACAACAATGTATTATACTGTATAATCCTTTGGTAGCGTACATTGTACTTCTCCGAGTTCCCCGTAATGCTGCTTTTGTAACGAATGGATGAAACAGTACATACAACGCCAAACATTCAGTTCCAAGAGAAACGAGTGCTGTAAAATAAGCAGGACACGTTAACACGCATAGGAGAAATGAGAATCGCTTAAGCTTGTTGTCTGACAACACAAATTGAAGCCACAGCTAGCAATACATATATAGACATATATTGGAGGATTAAAATATACTTTAATGAAAGAGGGTTTGAGAATGAACTCGATAAAAATGGTTCAAAATAGGTTTCGGTGGTAATAAATTTTCTGTTTATATAAAATGTGGTGGTTGGAATTCTTGACCAGCTGAGCTACCATCAATTTTACAGTTAGTTATGGAGCATCGGGGCATGCGCATCGTGAACTCGTATATCACATGACCGTCTGCTATCTTGCTGTAGTTTACGATGCTGTCGGTACGTAGAGCTTAACAATGAAAAAATATTAGGCTGACTTATGATTGAAGAATTAAAAAGATATCGCAGGAACAGATCATGGTCTGATCCTCAGAACCTCAGTGAGGAATGTCGGTGTCCCCGCCCAGATTCGAACTAAGCACCCCTCCATCTTAATGCGAGTGAAAAGTGTTGCCGTCATACAAACGCATTACGACTGTCTGCTGTTTATGTCTGTCAGGCATTCTCACATCACGGTGGTAACAAGTCGTGGTTACGTAAGACAGTTCCCGCTCTTTCAACGAATCGCTGCGCTGCACTGTGCTGATCCTAGCGCAGTGGAGAAAGTACATACAAGCGGTGCAGTTGTGCGCAGAGCTCAGCGGGAGAATAATCTACTAGTCGATGCCTCTCCGTGTGCTCTCTTAGAGGCAAGTATCGCATTAATGAATCTTTTGTATTAATAATAGTTTGAAGTTATTATGTACTATTTGAGCAGACCTTTTAAATGAACAAATACTTGCGAACATTTATGTGCCCAAATATTTAATCTCCGAAAATTCTTGACGAAATTGCTGTAATACGGTTAGGAAATTCGAAATGAGGTATGTTTGGTGAAACCGATTTTGGTTCACACAGTTACAAAGTGACAAATATGTTCCAAAACTGGGGCCATAAAAAGTTGAAGAACGGCGTTTCCGTTTATTGTCTTGTGACAAATCTCGCCCTACTTTGAACCTGTCATGCCCTGCACACGCGCTTGTTCGCGATGCATTTCCTTCACTGCACACACTTTTCAATATTTCAAACGATGCATTTGCTGTTTTCTTTAATTTTACACTAAACTCAATCTTTGCTCTTTGTTTCATTTCGAAACCTTCGACACGACGAAGAAACTAAGTTCACCAAAACAAGTGTAATCCTCATATGCATGAAACCAAACAAGCTGGATCTTGCGCATCATATAAACGATGGTTCTAATTAGTCCCGTTCATCCCCGATAGATGGCGTTAGTAGTAATATTATAATAGCGTCAGTTCAATTGTCACACTGCAAAAGGTAAGGTAAAATTGTTCCTGTGCTTAACTAATTAAGTACTACGCCATGAAGGCCTATGAAGAAGTGGATGTATAGCGCCACATTTTCTTGACCTCGGCACTAGTTGGAGATGAGGGGTCAGCTTCACGCCCTGACCGCTTTACTTCAGGGAAAGAGCCCCAGATACCCATTGGATAGGAGAATGGGTGGACCCCACAAGCGGCATGGACGTGGAGAACATTAGTGACCCTAGCAGGACTCGAACTCCAACCCCTTGGTCGTCCAGCCCGTAGCCAGTCGCTATACCGACTGCGCTATCCCGGCTCCTGTTGTCACACTGTGTATATTAAAAAAGAGACTTTACATATAAATCAAAAAATGAATTTAAATGTAAAATGTTTGAAAATCTCATACTACAAGTTGGTATCTCACATAGAACGTAAATCATATAGGGTCTGCGATTTTAGTTTGTAACATTTTTCGACAAGGGAAAAGTTGATGAAAAAAATGATTTCTTACTCTGTGCATTGCGATATCTGTAGCAATCGGAAGGTCGGCCCAGCGTCACATTCGGGAGGTACCAAATTCAGATCTAGACCCGATTACAGGCTTTCTTGAACTAAGTCTTCCTCACTTCCATCAGGTAAATACTTTGACAGCACCCAAATTAGGCCAGGATAACTTACTTCCACATCCTTTCCAACGTATTATTATTATTATTATTTGACCCTTGTAATGTAAACTTCTGGTTGGTCACTGTAGCTACGCGGTCTAAGGTATGAACTGTCTTCGATAACGTGAACGCTGCGATCGTGAGTTCGAATCCCACTCAGGGCATGAATGTTTGTGTGTGTATGCGTTTATTTTGTGTGTTGAGTTGTCCTGTATTCAGGTAGCGGCCTTGCGACTGGCTGATCACTCGTCCAAGGGGTACTGCCGTCTGTGAAAAATGATTACGGAACTGAATAAGAGACCTGGGCCCTGAATGGGCTGCAAGAGCCATTGAAACATATGTAAACTTCTGACAGGGTTTTTGATTGGTAAAGATTTAATTATCTAAACAATTATACACGTATATGGACCAGTAAACTGGCATAAGTTACAATGATGTATGCATAATAAAAAAGAAATCTTGATATCTGAGGTTCTCACAGCGGTCACCGTGCAGATGGTTACAACGTAGCCACTCGGGAGATAGGTACGCTATATTGGCGTCTATCACTGGTTAGAAATTGGGCAGCACTGTGTTACATCGTCCTTCCAGCAAGGACTATTAAATTAACAAATGATCGAGAATTTTTGCACATCTTCCATGTGTCACAATAATGGCACTAACACATACAGTATTCATGAACTGGCATAGGGATATTTCTGGGGGCCCGAATTCGGTTCCCCAGCATGCATATACCTCATCCTCATAACTAACTCCATGAAGATGAGCTCTCCTCAAGAACCCGCCAGTTGCGCAGCTACTCAAAAATTTCCCAACATTTATGGAACCCGAAAGTTCCATCTGCTGTTCACAATAGCCCGCCACTTGTCCCTGTCCTGAGCAAAATCGGTCCAGTCCATACCAACCGATACTAGCCCTCTTAAGATCCATTTTAATACTCTTACTATCCACCCACCTAAGTCTTAGTCTACTTAGTGGTCTCTTTCCTTCTGGGTTTCCCACCAAAATTCTATATGCATTCTCACACCCACATACAATCACATAACCAAGCCTAAGGCAGCGTCTACACGAGCGCCCAAAATGCGTCCGTTGTAGAAATAAACAAGAGAGGCGAATGCTACGCTTTCTTGTGGCTCCATTGCAGACAAAAAACTACGCACCGCATCCTGCAACTGTGTAGCGTCCTCAGCAAAGTACGTTCGTTACAACGGACGCATTTTGTGCGCTCGTGTAGACGCTGCCTAAATACACCATAAACGCTCTCACATCAGTCATCAATAATTTAAATTGTAAAACTCTGTCTTACTCGTTGGCGTGTTTCCTTATTTTGAAAAAATAGAAGTAAGCTTATGAGATCAACTTCCGCTCTATGGGATTTGTGTCTCTCTGTCTGCATGTGTATCCCCTTATTAAATTTTGAATTCCTAATCCAATCTTAACACAATGTAAGATTTGAGGTTTTCACGGCTGTGACTATGAAGAAAGCAGTCTTCTTGGATGCGGCTCCGTGTAGGTTCCCAGAAGACTGCTTTCTTCTCAATCTCAATAAAACTTGGCACGAATATCATGGTACCTAACCCGATCTCAATGGCATAATTCATAAAAACCTCCCATTAGTAATTCCAAAATTATAACCTCTCAAATTTCTGAAGCTAAACCTTAATATTGCTTGAACTCCATCAATCTTCATGGAACTCAGCTTGCCTATCATACCCTATGAAACCATCTAAACGTTATACACCATAAGTCCCTTCATTCAGTGGTACCAACATTATTGCCTCTCAAACAGTTGCGGTACTAACCCGAATGCTCAAACCAATCTTGATGAAACTTGGTATATAAGTAATGTCATGCGAGGCCTTCTCAACAGTGTACCCCATAAATAATTCACATGGATAATGACACTGCAACCTCCCGAATTTTATTTTTTCGCGGACTTCATTATGCATACTGAAGCTTTCCTTTCAACTTGCCGCATCAGGTACTAAAACTACAGTGAAAGGAAATTATGCGTTTAGTTCTTCCCAGAAATTTATAATCATCACATAAATTTGGCATTGTAAAGGTAATTAATTAACACATTAGATACATAATGTAATTACGAGTCGGAGTAGCGCAATCGGAATAGCGATTGGCTACAGGCTGAACGACAGAGAGGTCAGAGTTCGAGTCTCGGTAGGGGGCAAGAATTTTCTCTTCACCACTTCGTCCAGACCGCGTCAAGGGACAGCCCAACCTCATACTTAATTGGTACTGGGGGCTTTTACCCCGGGATTAAAGCGACCGAGGCATGAAGCTAACCACTCACCTACAACTAGTGCCGAGGACAAGAAAACGTGGATTATACAACCATTACCCATACGCCTTCTTAAATAGTTAAGTACACGGACAACTTTACCGTTATCTGTCTGTCTATTGCTCTACAGCCCTTTTCATGGATCTTGGCCGCTTTTTCAGTTCCTTGATCCTATACACAGACGGTTGGACTCCTTGGACAGGGGATGAGCCCATCTCAAGGCCGCTACCTACACACAGAACAAAACAAAGACAAAATAAGCGCACACAGACACCCATGCCTCAAGTGGGATTCGATCCCAGTGTTTGAGTGGGCGGAGACAGTTCATGCCTTAGTCCGAGAGGCCACCATGATCGGAAACTTTACTTTTACATACTGTAATTACAGGAAAAGATGTCAGAGATATGTTAAAATATATTAGGCATATAACAGATATAAGAAGGAACGCGCAAAATTAATATGTACCGATATTTTTAGACGTCTGGTCCCGCAGAGCGCCGTTGCTCTGACGTGGCTACTCATCTGCGTTTGTATGTTGCTTGCGAGTTATCATTTGACAGCGGTATCCTGATTCATTGAAACTCTGCATGAAGTTCTTGCCATTGCAATCCAAATCACAACCGGGTTTTTTAATTCCACGAGGTTAATATGAAAATGATAGTAGTGAGAATTTTCGAGGTAAGAGCTAACAACAATCTAGTTGTACGGGTGTTCACTTTACTTTTCATGGAAGTAGGTTAAGTAGTTCAAAATAGAATAGGGTAACACATACATCAACATACCTAACGGATATGATAGCACCAAACAAGCGTGTTTCGTGATAGAACACGAAATGAACACCAGAAATCTCTTTTCGTTTTACAGTTTTGACGTGGTTTAGAAAACTGTTTATTTCTAGTCGCATCAAAACTCTCAGTTGCCTGAGTACTGTGCGCGTGTTATAGGTCTCAAAGTACTTCAAATGTATTTCTGGCACAGTACGTGTACAGGACCATAGTTTGGAGAAGATGAAACCAAAATGAAACAAAACAAATTTAAATGAATTCATTTATATTTATTAATATATTTTTATTGTTTGGGAGATGATCAGTAGCTAAATCTTATGCATCATCCGGATATATATTTTTATATACTTTTTATTGCTAGTGGGGTGGGACTAAGTCCCTTGTGCTGCGGCCCCTTCTGGCCTATTGTACCAGCCCCAGATGACAGGTGGGGGTGATTGTGGAGCAATTGGTGGAATGAAGATTGGCAGGGGATACCGAAGTACTCGGAGAAAACCTGCCCCAGCGCCACTTTACCCACCACAAACCCCACTTGACCAGACCCGGGATCGAACCCGGGCCGCCGTGGTGGGAAGCCAGCGACTAACCGCTTGAGCTATGGCGCGGCCATCATCCGCAATAACTTAGGAGTGAAAATGGTTTTCATTTCCAGTCACCAGTATGTAGTCTGACATAATCTCAAAGTTTCGTATCGTCGCCATGTTTGGAATTTTGATTATATAATCACGGAAATTTCGTGCAAAATATGTGAGCATTTCATGTTCTACGTCAACATCAAATGTAGTAAATCTATTCAAATATGTTTTACCATGTACAGTATTTCTTTCACTGCTTTTATTTGTGCAAATAAACTGACCTGACAAAACTGAATATTTTTATAAGATACATAACCACGTAAATTTAGCGTCGGCTGGCTCGTCAATGTAAGAGAGAGACATGGGAGAGATAGACATAGATGAAAGTATGATAATTTTAAATTCTTTTCATATGAGGCGCAGTGGCTTGCTGTTGTGAATACGGCGATGAACTTCGTGTTCTATAAAAAAGCAATACAGTCATTGACCAGCTCAGCGACTCTCATCGTCTAGCGAAGTGCTCTGCTTCTTGAAGTTTATCAGCCACAGATCAAATTTAAATTTCTTTCTTTAAATTCATCATCAGATCCATTGTGATCTTGAGTGTTCATGCATTCATTGAAATAAAGTTTGTTCTCACTTATACGAGTACTTCTCTGCCTGCATAACAGCTGACTCTTGCGGTCTGTGACTGCCTGAGATGAAACCTTACAGCCACCATTTCATGTCTTACACCAATACTACTACTACTACTACTACTGCTACTCCTACTATTACAAATACTACTGATATTAATGCTGCAACCATAACTACTACCACTGATATTAATACTACTATTGCAACAACTACTACTACTATTATCACTAATATCACTACAACCACAACTTCTGCTAATATCCCTACTACTATTATTATACCAGGGGCACGCGGTAGCGTAGTTGGTTGAGGCACTATGCTACAAGCAGGAAGGTCGTGGTTTCGATTCCCGATAAGGTCATTACATTTTTTTTTTCAATTTACCTAATACCTCCAGCCGCACTATGGCCCTGGGTTCGACTCAGTCTCTAATAAGAATGAGTACCACGAATCTCCCTGGTGTGAAAAGGGCGGTCGGCGCGTAAGGTTGACAACCTCACCGCCATCTGTGAGCCGAATGTCTGGAAGATGTGGGAGCCTCGACATCTCACAATCCTATGGATCTTCACGGCCTTTTACAGGGTTAAATAAAAGTTTTTTTTTATTTACATAAAATTAGCAATGAGAATTACATTTGATTCTATAAGCTAATTAGCTGTAGTATTCTCCGTGACGTGGAGAGGGCTTATCCAGCGATAAGTCCTCGTTAACCCTCTCTCAGGTCGGCTGGCCAATTCCTTTTTAGTCTTCGTTCATTGTGCGGTTCCAGTAACGGTTGCATTAGTACGTTCTCATGTCCTATTTTGTTGAGGTATCTTGTGCTTTTCCCTTTTATGACTTCCTTCACTAGCGGCACTTTCAGGTCTTCATGGAGTGTTATATTGGAAACATACCGTGGGGCGTTAGTAATCATACGTAGAATCTTTGACTGACATCTTTGGATTATGGAAATATTAGTTTTGCTAAATAAAAGATAAAGAGAGCACTGTAACAGGCTATGGGGGCCCATAGGGTTGCGTCGAAGCTGTCCACATTTTCTAGACAAATCGACTCAGAGATGGCGGTGAGTTTGTGAGCTTTATGCGCCGGCCGCCGTTTAGCCCCAGGAAGATTCCTAGTAATGAGTTCTCTTAGAGGCTGAGTCGATCTCAGGGCCATAGTGCTTCTGGAAGGAATGAGTCAATTGAAAATTCCAATGACCTCATCGGGAATCGAACCCACTACCTGCCGGCTTGTAGCATGTTGCATAAACCAACTATGCTATCGCGTTGCCCCTGTTACAGGGATTGTATTACCTTAATTACTATACAGCTCTTACTATCTGTTTTATTTGTATTTCCGCGTATTCCCAACTTAGTTCCGTACTCTACTTTCTTTCCCAATTTACATCTCGTATTCAAGTAGATTTTATAACACATTTATCCCAAAATTTGCTGTTGTACAAATTATTATTCTATTATAGGCTAAATCTTCAACCATTTATTATACAAAAATTCATCACTCAAATTTTCCTTTCCAGCCTTTTCATTAGTAAGTGATCTATTTAGTTTATGCTGCTCTGCAGATGAAAACTATTTCAGTTAGTTAATAATTGGAAGCTAATTAATACTTTATTTTTTTAACAGATGAAATGCTCTGTAGTGTTGCTGCTGGGCGCTGTCAGCGTTTTTGTTGGCGACTCGGAACCTGCAAGGATTCTGGGACTCTTCCATTTCAATGGGAAAAGCCACTTTACCATGTTCGAGTCTTTACTCAAAGGTCTTGCAGCTCGAGGACATCAGGTTTACGTAGTCGGACATTTTCCACAAAAGAAACCGATTCCTAACTACACAGACATCGACGTGGAAGGCACATTGCCTGCAATAACGAATAACTTCACCATTACAATGGCTCGAGGATTCGGATATTTAAATCTGTTTGATTTTATATGGAATACTAATCGGGAAATGTGTAGAAGTGTGCTGCAGCATCCTAAAGTACAAAGCCTTATTAACAGTGATGCAAAATTTGATCTCATTATTACAGAGATCTTTGGTACGGATTGTTTTATAGGTCTGTCTCATCGTTTCAAAGTCCCAATCATTAGCATGATCTCCAGCGTAATTCTGCCCTGGGGAAATGATCGTATCGGAAACCCCGACCATCCGGCCTACATTCCTAATTACTTTCTCCCATACCCACAGCACATGACGCTTGGCCAGAGAATTATAAATACGCTTATGGTAGAAGCTTTGAAACTAGGACATTACTACTTCGCAGAATTGCCTATGAACGAATTAGCAAGGCAGCATTTTGGACAAGACATGCCTCCTATTGCTGAACTGAAGAAGAAGACAAGTCTTATCTTGGCCAACAGTCATTTCAGCCTCAACATTCCGCGGCCCACAGTACCACCATTTGTAGAAGTGGGTGGACTCCATATACAGAGCGATGGCAAGTTACCCAAGGCAAGTTAACTGTGTCTTGGAGCTTTAACTTAAGTCATGGTGTAGTGGTTCGTACTCCTGCGTCATATGCTGAAGACGCTAGTTTTGTCGATAAGAGGTTTTTTGAGGACACTGATGAACTACGATTTAAGCTTCTCTGCTATATAAATAGGGATTCAGGTTAGCGTAGTCGGTATAGCTACTGGCTACGGGCTGGACAACGGAGGGGTTGGAGCTCGGGCCCCGGTAGGATCAAGAATCTTCTCTTCTCCGTGTCGTGCAGACCGGTTCTGGAGTTCATCCAGCCGCCTATCCAATGGGTACCGGAGGCTCTTTTCCCGAGGGTACATTGGCCGGGGCGTAAACCTGGCCAACTAGTGCCAAGGTCAAGAATAATGTGGATCTATGCATCCACTCGCGCATGCGCCTTCATAGCGCAGTGCTTGATTAGTTAAGCACCGGGACAACTTCACTATATAAACTGAAGCTAGGTTTGAACAACGAAGAAAACGAATGGCTACAGGCAACATGGGGGGGGGGCGGTAGCGCAGTTGGTTGAGGCACTATCTTACAAGCCGGAAGGTCGCGGATTCAAATCCCGATGAGGTCATTAGATTAGATTAGACGCCCTGGCGTCGACTCAACCTCTAACAGAAATGAGTTCCAGGAATTAATTAAATAATTTTTCTGGGGAGTAAAGCGCGGCCGGCGCGTAAGGCTGACAACCCTGCCGCCAACTTTGAGCCGATTGTCTAGAAAATGTGGGACCCTCAGAGTCTCCCAACCCTATGGGCCTTCACGGCCTGTTACAGGGAGAGCTCTACTTTTTACTTACAGCAACATGCCCGACGGAGGCTATGTCACTGACCCGTACCTTACATAAGGCGGATTTATTAGCAGAAAGTCTGTCTTGAGGCCAATAAGACAAGCTGCATGAATTGAACACGTAGCTGTCGTGGTCTTCTTCGAAAGTTGCGTCCAATGAATTCGTTCGCAGGAACTATGAAAAGAGGGCACGAGAATCCTTAGTCACAGTGCCTGGGCCGGGACTCGAACCTGATGTCTCCACATCCTTCGTTACCACTGCCTATAAATAAACCTGCTATGCCGTCCTATTCGAATAAGAAGTTTTGAAAAAATATTCCTGAGTAGCCGTATTCCACAAACATTCAGAAATTTAATTTAAATCGATTAACAATTGTGCATACATTTTTGGATCAAATCAGCATTCAAAGGGGATTTTTCCCATCAGTTTTAATTGCTGTATGTGCAGCAATCAGAAAGTAGGGCTAGCAACCACATCTCAAGGAAAATTGGAAACCTGAACTAACAAGAAAAGGTTGAAGATTCTTATGTGGCAGTTATTTATTTATGTTTTGTTCTATGACGTCAGTAGCTCGAACTATGTAGCGTCGAGTGGTAGTATTATTAGTGAATAGTGGATTGGAAGAATGCAGACGGAAGGGGTTGTGTCCTAATTCGAGGCAGTAACCCGGCATTTGTCTGGAGGGACTGATGACATTAAAAGAGGCCTCAGTAAAGATAGCCGGTCTCCGAGGGGGCCCATATACGTACGAGTCTGGCTCGCGAGTCCGACTCGGCTCGGGTTCCAATGAGCCAAACTCGTCCGTGTGTGGGTTGCCATGCTCATGCGTGTGTGGTCAACTTAATCCGAGCCCGGCTCTTCGCCGAGCCGGACTCGTATGTGTATGGGCCGCCTAACACGAGACCTGAATCCGTGGCTTGCCGAATATATGCAGGAGTACCATGTTCCCGTGCGTGGCCCTCTGTTGTGGATTTTCTGGCACTGTAAACTGTGTTCCAAATTACAAGACATCATATTTTCTTGTAGATCTGCTGATCTCGGAGTCATGATCTATTTACTCTCCTGCTAATTCTCTCATATAATAAACGCTTACAAACTCGGCACTCTTTTCTTCAGCTCCCATTGTGATAAGAGAAGTCAGATCATTATAAGAACAGCTACACAGCATTATCATTATTGGCAGGCAGTTTAATAGCCCGGAAAGCAAATAAATGTTTATACATTTGGATATTATTAAGCCCTTGGAAAAACTTCCTGTTGAGGAGCTGATATCTAATCTGAAAATTACGTTATGTTTACAGAACACGAACATCGCATTAGCTAGTACTCAATGGCCCTCCATTAGACTGTATGCTGAGCTAGAAGAATCCACTCCTCATTCTCACATAAAAACCCCTTAATAGCCATTTTATTATAATTCTCCATGGTCTTGTGATTACGATCAGTACTTGGCACATTTCACATGCTGAAATACTACCGCTAATAACTTAGTGAAGATAATGTAATCATACTTTCACTTTCGAAATCGTTTCCGCCAATGCAGGATCACAGGTAAACATATTTTTAGTCACTCTTCCTATTAATAAACAATTTCTCCAGGCAAAATGCAGTCATTACTCTGCAGGTTTAGAGGTTCTCATAGCGGTAGTTCTGTAGAGATAGGTGAAGTTGTCCCTTTGCTTGACTAATTAAGCACTACGCCATGAAGGCGTATGGAGGAGTGGTTATATACGTAGATCCACATTTTCTTCACTTCGGCAGGAGCTGGAGTTCAGTGGTCAGCTCAACGCCCCGGCCACTTTAGCCCCGGTACCCATTGGATAGGAGGTTGCGTGGACCTCAGAGCCGGACTGGACGACGTAGACCCTACCGGCACTCGAACTCCGACCCCTCGGTCGTCCAGCCCATAGCCAGTCACTATACCGACTGAGCTATCCACTTATAGAGTATCTTCTGGGAAATAACACCATGTAGTACGTTGAAAGTCAACAACACTTTATAGAAGTTCAAGTAGATTCATAAGAGGAGACCCCACCTTCTTGTCAGAGAGGATGTTACATAAGGTCTATGGGCGTAAGAGCTCAGTTGAATAAAATAGTATCTCCGACCGTGATCCTCAAGGAGCTTGACGCCAAGAGGAGCTGATTGGCTGTAATTATAACTTTAACTTTGAAATTCAACCGACTTTTCGGGGGAACCTGTCATCTTCATCTTCAGGGTCGAAGAACTGGCCAGACAAGAAACGAGTGTGAAACAGGTTGCTTGGCCTACTCTTCGTTCCTGAACGTGTATGACGGCGACATGTTCTTCCTAAACGTCGGTTCATTTTCAACGGTCTACACTGCTTTAGATCAACTCTTCAGCCTGTACTCTGTTCTTATCAAATTGAAACTGTAACTGTATTGCATTGAACTCAATTCTTCGTGAACCGGATAGCTCAGTCAGTATAGTGAGCAGACTACGGGCTGCACGCCTAGACAATCTGGGTTAGATTCCCGGCGAGGAATTGTTCAGACTGGCCCCAAGAACTACCCAGCCTCATATCCAGTAGGGAAAAAGCGGCCGGAGCGCGACGCTAACCGCTCGCCTGTAATTAGTACCTGAGGTTAGGAAAGACTGGAGCTCCATTCGCATAAAAAGACCAAAACTAATAGCGAGATCTAATGTCAATCCTTCCACTATTACTATTATTATTATTATTATTATTAGCGGGGTGAGACTGAGTCCATTTGGTATTACGGCCACTACTGGCCTATTGTTATCAGGCGCATGCCACTTTTACCTTTAACTAATGATTTGAAATATACGCAAAAAATAATTTTGGTTTTTCCACAACAGGATCTGGAGACCTTTATTAACGAGTCTAAAGATGGAGTGATCTACTTTAGTCTCGGGTCCTTGGTTCGAGCTGAAACACTGCCTAAGGACAAACTTGAAGCGTTTATTAGCGCGTTCTCTGAGCTACCACAACGCGTCTTATGGAAGATTGATGGCATTGCTGGCTTGCCAGACAACGTCAGGACCTCCAAGTGGTACCCACAGTTCGAGATCCTCAGTAAGTTGTTCTAGTACATTACAATTTTTTTAACGATTCTGTTTTAACTGCACTGCTTATTCAGCTTCAAATGAAATGTGATAATGAATACAAATAGTGGACAGGAAAGGATTTTGAAGAAGGAATTCGCATGGGCAGAGCAGGAGAGATGCGCACGCACATAATGCAGCCAGGGTAATCTGTAGCCTGGCTGTGATTCGATGCTGCATACAACAGTCGGGATAGCTCAGTCGCTATAACGACGGGAGACGGGATGGACGGTTCAGATTCGATTCCCATCAGTGCTAGATTTTTCTTTCCTCCACAGCATCCAGACCGGCTCTGGGGCCCACTCAGCTTCCTATCCAGTGGGTACCGGGAGCTCTATCCTAGGGGGTAAAGCAGTGGGGGCGTGAATCTGACCACTCAAGACCATCTAGTGCCGAGATCAAGAAAGGTGGAGCTATACATCCACTCCCCCACATGCCTTCATGGCATAGTGCTTAATTAATTAAGCACAGCGACAACTTTACTTTTACCCTTACTTACTGAATATAAGACTTAAGTTGGATCAGGAAAAAATGAGCATGCTTTCCTCGCAGCTGCCTATGCTGTTTGCGTTCCCATACTTCCACCAGTTGTCACGTGTACTGTGGCTATTTTTCTGTCCCTCATTCCACGTTCTGGTTTTGTTGCTGTTTGTCAGTTGTGCACTGAAATAAGCGTAGAGCTGAAGGCGGTCAGCCTGTCACACTTCATGTTCAGTCTTCACCCGAGCAGAGGGCAGCAGTAGTCTTGCCAGACGTACAGTAATCTAACATGTACGCCCATACAACTTTAAAACATTTCAGCAGTCACATGATGGGCCTCTGATGAGTCTTATTGAAGAGATGTGTGTATTTCACAGACGAAGCTTGTATACTGGCTAGGTCTATACAGTGCGTTGAAAATAAGTGGATATTAATGTTACATCAGGAACTTGGAAACTCTATTTGATTCCATACAGTTACAGGGGGTGTGATTACTATAAATATATTTAAGCATTTCAGTTAAATAAGTATTACGTAGGTCGTTTCAGAAATAATGCACACAATTTTTTGTTTACGTCCATGTTTATTTTTTTAATATCTCTTTACAGTCCTTCAATATAGTCCCCCTGCTTTTCAATGACCGAGTCCCAACGTGTGGGAAGCTTTACTATTCCATCCAGGACACCATCTTTCTTTATCTGTCGAAGGCTCGGGTACTGCAGCAGAAAGCTCTTCCAGAGAGGGAAAACGACGGCCTCGCATAGGTTGTTTCAACTTTGGGAATAAGTCGAAGCCTGGTGGACTCATGTCCGGGCTGTAGGGAGCATGAGGCAACACCTCCCAACCGTACTGGCCCAGCTTTTCTGTTGCGACATTGCCGATGTGCGGGCGACCGTTGTCATGGAGAATGCAACTGAGATCGGTTTCTGTGCATTTCTCTGCGCAGATTTTGCATAAAGTCACGCTAATAAACGGCTGTGACACTTTTCCCGCACGGAACTCTGTCTGTCATGATGATTCCTTGGTGATCATAAGCAAAGATCATCATTTGTTTGAGCTTTGATTGAGATCGTCGAATTTTTTTTGGTCGTGGGGAAGATGGACCTCTCCAGTCGTTGGACTGTGATTTCAGCTGTGGATTTGTCGGGTTTTTTTTTCCACGTAAAGTTTCGATCTTGATGTACGACCTTTGATCTTAAACAGTCACAATACCCGAGAACCGTGCAGGCTCCATTTCTAACTCACATTATTTAAGAACAGAGTATATTATAAATGAAACAAAATAACGCGCTTCTTTCTCAAGCCCTGAACTGTAACTGCCGTGAGGCTCACTGTTGTTGCGTCATCTAATCCGCAGTGTTGCCAACCTGTGCATTATTTATGAACTGACCCACGTACATTGAATCTAAGAGTCTGAAATTTACATAAGAAATGAACTTGTTCCTGAAATATGAACGTCTCAATTTCATTTTATTCGGTAATGACGGTCATTCATTAATACCTAAAAAAGGAATCAAAATTTGTAAGTGAAGTCCAAGACCACCTTCTAGTCAAGTACTTGAGTTACATATGAAATCAAAACGTCGCAATGAAATATACAGTAGGTAACAAATATCGAACTGGATTCAGGTTTGTCCTTCACTTTTATAACTACTTGTGCCGAAACGAACAGAAGCTTTACGAACATTTCATTCAATGACACAAAGAAACTAAAAAACGTCTTAGCATTTTTATCATATGAAGAAAAAAAACATGTTTGCTTCTGATAGGCGCCGACCAATATTCGGAAGCTTTTCCAAGTTGCTCATTATCGCAGTCGTACACGTCTATTTAAATCTCGTAATTTACTTTTTAACAGACTTGCTTTTGAAAAATGCATGACTTTTCCGATAGAATTATCACAAAAATGTAGGTTATAAGCTATAAACGATAATATACCAACTTCCTCATGTCGTTTGTTTTTATCAGCTACGTTCAGTCATGGTCATTAAAAATATGTTAACGCATTTCCCCTTTTCTACACATGGAACTCAGCCTGCAAATAATACGCAATAACATTCCTTGTGTAGGTTCCTATCTACGGGATGATAGGTTAATAGTACCACAATATCCGTGTCTGTGCTCATCTTGTACAGTCAGCTACTTAAGGAGCCGTCTGAACTACTGCTACGAACAATAACAGATTTATAATTTATAGGATCTTGAAGTATGACAAAGAAAATCTTCGAAATATTTGCCAGGTTTTTAAACCCGTTTTATTCATATCGGAGATGAAATGAGCGAAAGAACAAACAAGTCGAAACTCCCCATCATGCGTTCATTTTATGTACCCTTTTCAAAAGAAACTAAAAAATTCAACAAACACACGTAAGTTAACATTTTTAAAAGAAACTAACAAAGAACAAACTTAACTATTAAAACGTAGTCGACCTTATAGTTTACTAGGCTTTCCACATTGGTTTGTGTAAGGACTTCGGTCAATTTTGAAGAAGTTACATGCTCGAACTTTGCACAAAACATCAATATACGACGACTATTCGGAAAGCAACCTCGTTTTATTTTAGGCAAATAATATATGAGAGACGCCGGTCACGGTAGCCGAACGGTCTAAGGCATGTACTGTCTTCGCTCGCGCGGAGGCCGGGATCCTGGGTTCGAATCCCACATAAGTCGTGGATGTTTGGTGTGTGTATGCGTTCATTCTGTGTTCGTGTTGTCCTGTGTTTAGGTAGAGGCCTTGCGACGAGCTGATCACCCGTCCAAGGGGTCCTACCGTCTATAAAATGACAATGAATCTGGGAAATCAGCCCTAAAACAGTCCAAAGTGGGAGCGAGAGCATAAAAAATATTAGAGATGGAGAGCTCGCGCATGAGAGGCAGTGTCGTATGGCTCATTGCCTTGTAAACCATCACATACTTCGTCACCTAGTGTTTGTTCTTGTCCATAAAGAGCGAGTTGTGATGTGTCCTGCGATTGATAATTCCACCAACTGCGGAATTCACGCTAAAGCATGAACGCTGCGGAAATCCATGGCCAAAATGTGATGAGTGGAGGAACTGTAAGACAATGAAGTAGAATGTTCAAAGATGGGTGAGCGAATAGATGCTCACAATGTAGAGAGAAGCGGTCGGCCATCTGTGCTGAGTGAAGATCTTGTTCAACGTGTTGACCAAAATATATATTTTTTTAAATGGAGCTTCACAATTTCAGAACCTCCGTTCGAATTTCCACACGCATTCTTATCTACGAGATTATCACAGTTAGGCTAGGCTACCACATGTTTTGCGCAAGATGAGTTCCCAAAATACTCAAAACGTATAGAATGATTCGGCTTTGACTTTTCTAGAGTGATACAACAAAGAAGGCGAAGAATTTCTCAATAATACGATACGAGTAACAGATGATGAAACCTGTGTTTCACTTTTGAATGGAGAAAACGAACTGCAGTCAAAGCAGTAGATGCGCATACATTCACCAGAAATCTGATGGCAACCGCTTTCTGGGACAGGAAAGGAACGCTGATAATGGAATTCATGCAACAAGGAGCCACAATAACGTCAGAAGTATATTGCGAAATACTAAAAGAACTGTATAGGGCCAATCAGGACAAAACGCGTGGAATGCTGGCATTAGATGTAGTGCTCCTCCATGAAAATGCGCTTCCGTATACAGCTGCTCGCACTCGAGTACTGCTGGAACATTTGAACTGGGAGTTGTCTGACTACCTTCTTCACAGCCCCGATCTCGCTGCATGCGACTACCACCAGTTTGCGTGTGCGCACCTGAAGAGCTGGCTGGGAACACAGCGCTTGAACAATAGTGACGAGTTGATGGAAGGTAACAAAACTTGGCTGAGCTCACAGGCGGCAGGCTTCCTTGACACAGACATATAAAAACTTATTCCACGATACAAGTGCCCCAATTCCGGGGGTGACTACGTTGAAACGTAGCTAAAGTATGTACTTATTTTTGTATAAAATAACATTCTTCATCATTACATGTTTTCTTAACAGCTCACCGGAAGTTACTTTTTCAATAGCCCTCGTATGTAATGTTCTTCCCATCCCGACGCGTAACATGAAAAAAGAAAAGGCAAAGAAAAAATTTGTTCCTCTTGGACAGACAGTCTAGGAAAACTTGTTAATTTCGTTGTTACTTTCAAGGGTTCTGATCCAACTCAATGTATTTTCTTACTGTTTTCTCCGTAAGGAAACTTTGGGATCATGAAGAAAATGAACACGTAGCCTTGATGTGCTCTGCAGTAACTATGATAACGAAATTTATTTACATTCTAACGTGGCATTTTCTTTAATGAAACTCAGTTTATAAATTCAGGCAGTTCTGAATATGTACTACAATTTTACGGTCGTTATATTCCGGATTTTAGTGGGGGAATATAATTTTCTTGACATGGTTTCCGCATAAAAGTTGTGCTCTGGAGGTCACATAAAGGACGCGTGTCAAGAACTTATAGACCTTAAATCCGACTATCATAAAGCAAGGTTTTCAAAACTGCATGCAGATTTTTCTGTAGGACATGCAGGTTGTAGCATATAGCTGTTGCTAGGCAACAGATTCCTAACCACACTAATAGATTAACCGGAATGCGATGTTCCTTACGCGGTATGTGCGATAGCTGCGTGACGCGACAATAGAAGAGTTGTTGGAAGCAGTGTTTCCTATATGGTCCGTGTCGAGGTGTTATGAGCAGGAAAAGTCTGCAATAATAGAAGAGTTGTTGGAAGCGGTGTTTCCTATGTGGTCCGTGCCGTGGTGTTATGAGCAGGATAAGTCTAGAATTTAGTATTTGTGAGACAGCCGCCGGCCAGTAAGGACGTGAACAGGGAAGTTGAGGGTTCTACGTCTTTGAAAGCCGTTACCAGACAACGACTGGTGAAGAGACGGCAGACTGAGAAGACTCAGTACGTGCTGTAGTAAACTACCGAGTGTGTGAATTAGCGATAGCTCTATAGTTACTTGTAGTTACGATCTGTAAGTGGTCAATAAATCCAGTTACCAATCCGAACCCCGTCTTTAGTCACTATGACACGTCACAATATGTTCGTATCGGTGAGCACCTTCGGGGAACTTATTTCTTTTCCTCCTTTCAGAACTAAGTTACAGGGTGTCAAAGAGCATTTACATCACACATGTAGACTATCCTGTCTCTCCCAAACTGTGCAACGTAAAAAATGATCAATACACGCAACGTTCTTTTTTGATCACCTATGTTCAGAAGCATAACTGCCTCTGGTTCAAGAGACAGCAGAGGATGCCCAAGGTCAATGAGGAGTTTATGCTCAGATATTTCATAAGTTATGGATAATTCATACTTGTTCCATTTACAGAAGTTCCACTGTACATGGAACACCCAAATAAGTGAAATTCTTGAAGACGTTTCAGTAAAGAATATGGCGGAGAAAACTAGAATTGACACAGACTGTGGCCGCGTGTACTATCGGTTTTATTGGGTTTGTAGTAACTGGGTTGTATGTTCGCTTATTTGTGAATAGTGCACTATAGTTTCACTATCATAACATCCAATGAGAGTTGTGCTGATTTAGTGCGGGAAAACTATTATCTTTATACGGCCTACCCCACGAAAATTATGTTCGGAATGTCAAAAAATTATGTATCTATGAATCCAAAAAAACATGGGGACTTTAAACGTAAATAACCACCACAAGCCACACAAATATTGTAAGATTTGAGGCTTTCACGGCGTTGACTATGAAGAAAGCAGTCTTCTGGGATTTGGCACCGTGTATATGTGGTGTTAATCGACGTTTCGGAGGAACGTATCGCCTCCATCTTCAGGGTGGAAGGAAAAATATAAGAAATCCGCAAGTCTGCTTTTACCGGTTCTCACGGTCTCTTCGCTTGCGGATTTCTTATATTTTTCCTTCCACCCTGAAGATGGAGGCTATACGTTCCTCCGAAACGTCGATTAACACCACATATACACGGTGCCAAATCCCAGAAGACTGCTTTCTTCAACACAAATATTGTATGAAATTTTAATGTACAATTTTCTGTAGGAGAATGTTAGCGAAACTTGATTTATCCGTGATACGATTTCCAAACGTGTTACAGGTCACCCAAATGTGCGAGTTTTCCTCACCCATGGTGGACTAATGGGAACACAGGAAGCAGTGTACGCAGGGGTGCCCATGGTCGGAATTCCCCTCTTTGCTGACCAGGAGCTTAACATCAGAAACTGTATGGCGAAGGGCACAGCTGTCCTTTTGCTTTATGATTCCATCACGAAGGAGAGACTCTCGAGTGCACTGAGGACAGCCCTCAGCGACCCTAGGTGAGTTTCCAGTGAAACTAACGGTTCTACTATCATCACCTTCACTTAATAAAGCCCGTCTCAGATCACCTGCAGTTGTTCGGCAAGTATTATCATTAAGAAAACTGATGTGTCCCAGTTTTACTATTTAATGATGCTATAAAGTCCATACGTTTTATAGCGTTGAATGGTGAGATGCCTTTAAACTACAAACTAAATATGAGGTGATAGAAAACTGTCGTGGTCTGTTTTAAATTATTTTCCTAGCATTTGAATTCAGGTATTGACAAAAAGGACGAAAATCTTTAATGAAAATAGAATATTTATGGACTAATGTATATTAAAAAGTGTTTTTGTAGGAAAAAGGAATATCAACCATTACTCTGTGGCAGTCAGTCAATAAACAAATTACCCTTATTTAACGTATTTTTAAAATCCTGTCTAGAAATGTGATAATAATTAATGTCAAAATTGGTATTAGAAACATAATGTTCTACGCCCAAGTTTAATCTAGAAGAGAAAATCCTACGAGTTGCAAATTTTCACATACCTCATTCTGAATCTTGCTCGGTATCAGATAATTGGGAATGCTATCACCTCGTCGAGAAAGTCAAATGATTACAGTTTTAAAAATGTCATGATATTTTATGATTATGAAACTGTAATCCTTAACCAAAGAGATGAACATAAAATTAAGTTATTTACAATAAAATATAGTGTATAAATATATTTATATCTAAGATATAACCATGGTAAAAAATTTCGTGCAATGAGTGTGCCGTAAAAGGTGAGTTAATAGCATAATTTCTGAGATAAGATTTTGGAAATGAAGCAGATGTAAGTCTGTACTGTAGGTAAAAGAATATGAAATTAATACACTTTATTAGGGTTTGTATTGGACTGAATCAGGCAGTGATCAAATATAAGCGGGATTTGTTATAAGGATGTTATGTTTTGCGACTGTGAAAGTTAGAATGCCTACTAATTCACACAGGTTAATTATTGCAATATTTCATCAAACTGCACCTTATTAACCCGTTTTAAAATTGTTTGCTTCTTACAAATGACAAATAGAAGTAAAGGGATAAAACAAACTAACCAATTAACTAGCTCCACGATGCAGTGTCCATCTTGAGAAGCCAATAGTCACAGAGATGCTTACGAAGGTTCCACTACCGAGTTTACAAGAGTCCCGAGCCACCTGATTCAGCACGCAACTTCATACTCGAATTCTGTATACTATCCTGCCGTCTATGCCTAGGTATTCACAGGTCACTTTATTCAGAATTTCCGATCAGTAACAGGCCGTGGAAGCACATAGTGTTGTGAGACGTCGAGGCTCCCACATTCTTCCAGACAATCCACTCACTGTTAGGGGCGAGGTTGTCAGCTTTACGCGCCGGCCGCAATTTACCCCCAGGAATATTCTGTTTAGTTATTTCTGACAGAGGCTAAGTCGACCCCACGACCATAGTGCGGCTGGAAGGATTGGGTCAATTGAAAAATCCAATGAGTTCATCGGGAATCCAACCCGGGACATTCCGGCTTGTAGCATATTGTATCAACCAACTGCGCTACCGCGTGCCCCTCCGTACTGCATTGCCCGTCTTATAATACGTGATATAGCCCAATAATATTTGGCGATAATTGCAATTTATGAAGTTTTCTCGAGTCTCCTTTCAATTCAGTGAATGTTTACCTCTTCATCTGAAGGGCCAAGTTCCACACACATGCGCAAAATTACAATTTTCTTGTTTCATATTTTTCATTTGGAATTTTAAATTTTTAGATAGCAGGCAAGGAGACAGGGAATTATGAACTGAGTGACAGCAAGCATTCCAGAACTTACATAAATTTGGAGTAATTTTGATCTACTTTTCTCTACTCTAATAATAATGAAAAGAAAGTTGATGTTCGTGATATATTTTTTGAAGTCTGAGGATCCATGAGGGGGGGGCGGTAGCGTAGGCACTATGCGGCAAACCGGAAGGTCGCGGGTTCAGGTCCCGATAAGGTCATTGGATTTTTTAATTGACCTAATCCTTCCAGCCGCACTATGGCCCTGGGATTCACGCAGCCTCTAACAGAAATGAGTACCAGGAATTAATTAAATAATTTTCCTGGGGAGTAAAGCGCTGCCGGTGCGTAAGGCTGACAACCTTACCGCCATCTTTGAGCCGATTGTCTAGATAATGTGGGAGCCTCAACGTCTCACAACCCTATGGGCCTTCACGGCCTGTTAAAGGGATAGCTTTGCTTTACTTTTACTTTTTACTGAGGATCCATGGATTCTCATAAGTTGTTGCTTATGCCTTATCATATTTTATGGTAAGATTTTCTGTTTTAAAATTTTGGACTAATGTTACTACGAGAAAGAATTGCTTTTACCCAATTAGTAGCAAGGTCCACCAAGTGTAACAGTTTAGTGTAAGATGGTACCTTCATATAAAATTGCTGCATTTGGTGGACGTTCCCACTCATTCGCCTGTTAAAAAGTGTCTCTTATAAAGACATGTGTCGGTACGTATATAAATTGTTGCCTCTAGATGTTATGGGGCACTGATACTTATAAATAAGTAAGAGGACCACTCAACTCGGGTATAGAAAAAGAACATCTTCCATATGCAGTTTTGATGTCTTAATTTTTTGTTTTATATCACACCAATTATAGAAATTCTGATTTCTTGCGTTGCTAACACGTCTTTTAACCCCCCTCCCCATACAGCCAGCCGTTGAATTTGTCTCTTCACTGGAAGGCAGCAACATCGTCACAGCAGGATGCACCGTCGTCTCTTATCGTAGCCCACGGCGGTGCAGACCTCCTCTTTCAAAGTTTCTTCAGATTCTGAATTTCACGAAATCGAAGCGTTGCATTTGTATTTCATTTTGTGGCACAGAATTTTCAGAATGGCTTCCATCATCTTTCGGACTGACTCCATGAATACTGCAGTCACACGTACAAGAAGTGTCATCTGATGATGTTTTCTTTGTCTTCGTCATTTTCTATAGCGATCATCAGAGCATGAAGTAAAGGGAGGATCAGCAGACGCAGCAACATTCTACGGGCGACAATCACTGGCTGCTGGAACATCTCGCGGCTCTTGCACTGCATCCGCTGCCTCTTTGCAACACTCTCTCTCCGTTGCAACACTCTCTCTCCGTTGCAATACTCTCTCTCCGTTGCGCTTATATTGGTAGAGTTCTAAAAAACGTTGCTCGCCAAGATGGGAAATTACACATTTTCGGAATCCTAATATCAATTTCTCACTCTTGCCTTCCAGAAGCTCAGTCATTAGGTGCATTGTTCTATGTACTATAGCTGGCACCTTTTAATATTTACTTTCAGTTTTCGACACGTTTCATTTTGCTTTCACGTGATAGAAGCAACAGGTGGATGGACAATATTAAAATGGATCTTAGAGAAACAGGATGGAGTGGTGTGGATTGGATGGATATGGCTCAGGATAGGGACCAGTGGAGGGCTCTTGTGAACAGGGTAATGAACCGTCGGGTTCAATAAAATCCTGGGAAGTTCCTGAGTAGATGCAGAGTTGGAGGTTTCTCAGGAAGGGCTTAGTTCCATGACTGAGTGAAGCATGAGAAATAAATGTCTCTTTCGAGTGGACGGATCTATGTGAGAGACACACAGCCAGGATTTTATTTTCTTGGTAAGCTTTAAGTACTGCAACAATGTTTGAAATTAGGTGGTCACCAATAACATTTTTCACATCTGTTCGCTTTTATTAACCGGAGTCAAAGAGCGCAGAAAGAATCTTCAGATACTTCCATTTAAAACGAACACTTTTGTTCATTTTGTGCATTTAAAATATATGGGCTTAACGTCCATTGTTTATCATTCGTCAATATTGCAACACCTTTTTTCTTTAATACTTAATTTTAATTTTAGCTTAACATTACACACCTTGACACTACATGTTTCAGCCCCAAACGGCCATCTTCAGGTGTCTTGATATGTTACAAATATTTTATTAAATTATGTTAAAACTGCTACACTGTCTTAGATCGTGTTAAAATTACACGCTGTAGTTCTCTTTTCAAGGTAAAACCAGATAAAATCATTCAAAATTTTCTATTATACCCACGTTTTTTGGTGCATATTATTTCACGTCACACTTCATAAATGTATGTCTGTCCAGGATGTTTTGTTTCGGCAGCTTACCCCTCACGTTCGTAGCCTACTTCTCAGTTATGACTGGCATATGTCCCTGGTTTGCGTGTTTCCTCCACAGCGTGTGGTGTTGTCTTTACTAGTGCGGATGCAGTGTGTTTGGTCCTAAAATTAAAATTAAGTAGTAAAAAAAAGTGTTGCAATGCTGACGGACGATAAATAATGGTTACGTTGAACAATTACAACGGGATGCTGAAATACAGAACCACTTACGGGCAAATGTTTCATTTATCCATTAGAACTTCTGCAAAGCATAATGGATGTACGAGCTTTCGAGGAATCCGTTACTCTTTCAAAGTACTTTCATCCGTTTTTGCACAAGATATTTCGGTATAACCGGGATCACCGCTAAGCTTGGGTTCAACAAAATTACAAACATTTTCAGAGTATTAACTGATTCTTTGTTCACTAATTGTAGCACAATCTCTTTTTATGTTTGTTACCGACCCCCTTTCTATCTTTGTGCTTATGTGCCGGCTTCGGTAGACCACTGGACTCCTGTCAGGATCGTGTTACGGCAATAACTGAGGCAACCGGAAACTGCATACTTAAAGTCAGTCCACTGCTCGAAATCAACACCAGAACTTCCACTGTCCACAAACTGTTTATTTCAGAAGCGAAGTATTATAACTTCATTTGCAAGCACGGAGTAATATGGCCCTTTACTGTTATCTAATTTAACGATCCAAAGTGAAGGACTGATGAATTTAGAGAAACATGAGGAGTGCAGCCCAATGGCGTCTGCCTCCGATCAATTAAAAAAACAAATTTCTGAAGATCTGTATCCTGTGGGAGCGACGCTTCAACCCCACGGCCGTTCTCCCAGACAAGAATTAATTTCCTTATTGGCTGATTTTAACTAGCCAAATTCATCCTGCAATCGGCAGAAGCCAATCACATAACGAACTCTGAGAATAACTCGGAACCCCACATGTGTGACGGGTTATTTTCTTTAGCTTATGGTCCAGCTACACCCTTCCGAAGACACTTTATGACAGCTACACATGTCAACAAAACAAAATTCATATCTTTCGAGAACTACAGACTTGCTTCGGTGACCTTGTCCCATTCCGTCCATCCAAACTGCATGTAAACAAAAATAAGGCAGTTGTTTTATGTCCAGATACGAAAAACAAGTCATAACATGCTAATAAACCGGTCTCGCTAATAAACCAGTCACCCTTCCGAAATGGCTAAAGAGGACCATAGCTTCCGCGGAGACATTACGAACCTTGCACGGACTTCTGGCCATCGGACCACAGGGGACGGAAGGAAACAAACTGGGAAAACAAACTTTCTCTTGTAGATACCCGTTCTCATTGACTGATAACTCCGTGGCCTGTAGCCCGCAAGCTAACTATACTGACCGAGCGACCGCCGCTTGTAGGTGAAGTTAGTGCCAACTATTGCGGATAGAGGATGTCACGTGGTCAGCGCAACGGATCCCAACGGCCGTTAATCTCGGGTTTCTAGAACGGAGACGCTATTTTCTTGTAATAGCTCCTCATTTATCCTCACGAGGCTGAGTGGACCCCGTTCCAGACCCACTACTACTCAGAAAATTTGGTAGCGTCGGGAATCGAACCCAGACCTCTGGATCTGTAGGCAGGAACTCTTAACAGAAGACCACAGACGCGGTCATTGACTGATAACTCACAATTTTATTCTTTTCTCAATAAGTCTTCATAAATATTTTCAGTATCGTACACCGAACGACTACGTACAGTTCTGCCACTGAATCGTAAACGTACAGAGATATGATATGTAAATAGGGGATTTTTGTTGCAGTTTCTATGAAACACCGAAATGTGTATGGATTTATAATTGGAGCACCTGAAGAAACACACCTTATTTCAACAGGTTACTCCGAAAAATTCATCAGTCTTTCAACACACGTTTTGCTAGTTCATGTTATATAAAAATACGTAACGTGCACATTTATGTATATATAGAGTTTAGTCTGCCTTCTGGAGGAGCTTCATACCTACATTTTCAGGGCAGAGACTGAAGTTGAGGTAGTATTTACCTACATGTACAAACAGCTTCATAACCTCTAAGATCACAATCTGAACCATCACCTACATGAAAACCTCAAAATTAAAACTTCTTTCACTATTTCAGTTACCGGAAGAACGCTGAGAAGCTCTCGCGTCTGTTCCGGGATCGACCCCAGACGCCGCTTGAGACCGCCATCTTTTGGACTGAATACGTCATCAGACATGGTGGGGCGCCACAGTTGCGTTCTGCTGCAGTGGATCTCACTTGGTATCAATATCTCCTGGTAGATGTAATAGCAGTGATTGTGCTGTCCGTCATCATTGTATTCGTGTCTCTGTATGTCATCTTCAGGAAAATCATCTCTACTTGTGCCGGGAGTATGTCTAGAAAACTGAAATCCAACTGAGAAGGAAAACGAAGTTTTAAGAATTAACGGATGGAAAATTTATTTAATTCCTACTTTGTCTGCTGTAAATGCGAAATTTTGAGGTGTAATAGCCCTATACAGACTTATGTTAAGAAATGAATTAGTGATCGTGCAACAGTTGTTGAATTCGTGCATTCATACACCTAAGTATACGTTAGAATATGTACACCAGCTGAAACGAAATTGCTAGACCACGAATGGAATGGCTAATATTCATTCCTCTTACACCATGAGCATCCGTAATTATGATAACCATTGGCACTGATGGATGAGAGAAAATACAGAAGAGTAACAATAGTACTGTCGTGTGTTTCCTAGGCAACGCGACAAGAATTGTGTGGGTCTCGTATTTGGACGAATATTTTTAGTGGACAATCACTCTTTACACTCACAAATACAATTATTCACACTTGTAACGTCTTCGGACGTTTCCTCTTCAGTGTTATACACTCTCGCACCGCTATGCTCGGTGAAGTGTCTTCTGCTCTGCTCTGCTCGGAGCTCAGCTGTCCTTAGTTCTCGTCGGATACGAACTAACTTCTGCTCTATTCGGATACGGACCGTTATACCCTGCACTCAGGTTGAATAGGAAACACCTTGTCGAAGGTTTAATTTCGCCCGCTGCTGCGCAACGAATCTCTTGCTGCAGCCGGAATACTTTTCGTCACAAATAATGGTGGAAACCCCACTGTTAGACTTTCAGCTCCGGGGCAACGATTTCCTAGGCATTGCTGCCTGGGAATTGCTAGCTGTTGACCAGTGATGGACGGATTATCGTCCGGCCTTCCTGGCGGCACGCCATAATACTTTATTTCAGTTCACGGAGCAGTGAAATAATATCTGCTTAGAAATTATGATAATTTCAAGGACTTTAACTAATTCAAGAAAAGTGCTTGTGAGCTCAGTGAGAGTAGTGACAAGTTTACGGGCGGGCGGGGTTCGAGTTTGTTCTTCTCACCAGTGTCCAGATTGGATCTGGGACCTGCCGAGACTCCTGCTGCATGAGTTCCGGCCGCTGTTTCGCTGCCTAGCAGTGAAGGTGAGCACACCCCTACTTATCGCAGAGCTTCAAGGGGGAGGGTGCTAGAATTTTAATACAGAAGGCACAATTTTTTGCAATTTCTTTCCATTACTTTACTTGATTCTCTGATGTCTGAATACTGCAAATAGCATAATTTTGTGTCCCTATGTCATACACGAAGGTCATGGAACGTGGCTAAATAGTTGTAAAGAAACTGAAATAAAATAACTGGAGTTAAATTGTAGACAAGGAAATTTACATTTAAAAGATGTGTCCTTCGTGACGAATGCTAGCTAACTTAGGACTATTTTGATAAAGGGCTGCCATAGGTATGCTGCTGCAGTATTCTAGAGCAACAAGTGATGAGGTATACAGAGCCAGCTCCTTCGTAATTTCGGTTTATTATTTATTACTTTCGTTTCTTCCTATGCATTCATAAATTAGTATTAGTACAGCTAAAGGTTCACTGATTCAGAAGGACAGAAACTCTGACGCCGTACATTTAAATGTATAATAACGATTCTGCAAGAGGATAATTTCAATATAATATAAATTCAATTTCAATATAAAATAATTAAATAAAATATTTGTAGTTAATTTGTAGACGAAGTGTTGCATATTAGAAGATCTTCTTTGGACATTAAACCTTTGTCCTTAAGGAGTACTTTGACAAAATCTTGACACGGGTAGCTCTAGAACTGGCCAAATTTTATCAAAATATACGAAGTGCTATATTTGAGGTTCAATAATCCCCAGAAATCCCCTTGAAAATATTTTAATTAATTGTTTGAAAAAAGTAAAAGAATGTTTCGCACATGAAAACAACGTGCAAGTTCTCCCCCCCCCCCTTTATGTGTGCATGTGTGCTATACCTCCATTCACCCTATGTGTGCATTGCTTAATTGAACACAGGAAGAACTTCGTATTTTTCTTTGCCTCTATGTAAGACCTGAAGTTTTCACGACAGTGAAGGAATATCTTCTGGTCTTCTGGGTTACAACACGACGTTGTCGTCCGGTAAGTGTATGAGACCACATATGAACATTATCTACCTAGACTTTAAGTGCGGTGTTATATAATTGCAGTGTTTATTACTACATCAGCACGATAAAAAGAAATATAAAGGTAATTTGTGCAAGGGAGTGAAATGCCAGGGCTGTCCAACTTCAAACTACTGCGGAGCCCCAGTTTCCCTTAGGTACCTAACCGCGAGCAGCATTATAAAAACAATATACATTTCCCAACAGATCGAAAAGAATGGATGCATTTCGGTGATCAGCTAAATTGAGCATAATCGCATGAATAAGAATTAGATGCATAAAGGTGAAAAAGGTTTGTCTGAATTACTTGTTGCCAGATTTATTTTGCGGCTGCGGTAGCGTAATTGGTTGAGGCACTATGCTACAAGCCGGAAGGTAGCGAGTTCAAGTCCCGATGAAGTCACTGGAATTTCTCAATTGACCTAATCTTTCCAGCCGCACTATGGCAATGAGGTCGACTCAGCTTCTAACAGAAATAAGTACCAGGAATATTCTTGGGGGTAAAGTGCGGCCGGCGCCTAGGGCTGACAACCTTTCCGCCATCTATGAGCCGATTGTCTAGATAATGTGGGACCCTCAACATCTCACAACCCTATGGGCTTCCACGGCTTGTTACATGGATACCTTTACTTACTTTTACATTTTACACATTTATTTTTCTTAAAATCTGCCGTTAATATTTGCTCGATCATATTGATATAACTCACGATAGTAGGGTCTCATTAATTACATACTTTCGTATGTTATTTAGTACATGTACATTACACAGCACGTTCTTCAAAGCTTCATCGAAAAGATGCTTCTCCTTACGAAGGAGAGCAAAGCCCAGACACATCATGGAAATATGATATTAATACGGGCTGAAAAATACCAAGCAACAGGCCATATAAGGTCCGCGCGCCGCAGGCTGAAAAACACTGATTTGCAGTTTACTCGACCGCATATTTCAAGCTACGACTGTTACAGTCAACGGTTAAGGAGGATTAAATGGACTGACTATGTAGCATGCATGACCTGAGAAATTCGAAACCAATTAGTTGGATAGCTCGAAGCAAAGATTCCGCTTGGGAGATCTAGGAGTATACCGGTTGATAATATTAAAATAGATGGCAAGATGAATTACAGCGTGACGAGGGTGTGAAATTGATTGAACTGACTCAGGATAAGTTTCAGTGTCGACGTCTTCCGAATACAAGAATAAATATTCCGGTTTCATAAATGGCAGGGGATTTAAGTGTTAGTTCGAACGCGAAAACAAGAAATATACAGGCTTACCGAATACTTTGTGGGTAAAATACAAGGTAAGACGAGACCGAATTGCAGAGTGGAGATATAGCTTCACCATTCTTAACCTTGAGACTAGATGGAGGTGAGTGGTCAGCTGCACGCTCCTACCAGTTTACCCCCGGGGAATCTCTCCTGGTACCCACTGCATAGAGGACTGGGTCTACGCTTTCATGTTCCCACTTACCGCAGTCCATGGAGTCAACAGCTGAGGATCACATAAGTGTCCACGTTGGTAACTCAACCACCTACCAAGGTATCGACTTGGTGTATGTGAGACATAAACTCAGTTCAAGGCACACAACTCAGTAAATTGTATATCCCTGCTTTAGTAATAAAATTAATTATTCATTGACGGGTTACGTGGTACAAGGAACATCAATGACGTAATCTCTAATCCCTTTCGAACAGGTTTCTACAGGTCTCCCGTTATTTGCCACTGACGCTAACGGAGCAATTAAGCCACGCAGAATAGCAGCACGAAATTCCGAATTAATGCATACAAGGATCAGGATCAGTGACGGAGTCTCTAAACCCTACTCAGTGGGTCTCTAAAGGTCTCTGAAGCATCGAGGTAATTAAGTCAGGAGAAATAGTCGTGCTAAGAGCCCAATTAAGTAACATTAGGAGCACCACTGACGTAACATCTAGCTGGTACCCAGTAAGTCTTTACAGGTCTCTTGTTACGCTGCCGCTGAACCTAGCGAGAAATTGACTCGCGTGAAATAGCCGTGCCAAGCAACAGGAAATAGAAAGGAACGCTCACCGCAGATAAGGGCCTTAAACCAGGGTAAACTGTTTAGAAATTTAAAGTAGCAAATGTTAAAGTACGATGAAAATAACAAAAACTCAGTCAAATCATCTAAGCTACTGTATGATTTACCGTGCCATAACTCAGGAGGTTAGTCGACGGAATCCCACCGCGGCAGCCCAGGTTCTCGGTCAGGTCAGTTCATCTGGGATTTCTGGTGCAGAAGTAGCATTGGGACATGTTTTCTCCGAGAACTTCGGTTTCCCCTGCCAATTCTTATTCCACCGACTGCTCCACATTCATCATCATCTATATCACCCGGGGCCGCTACAATAGACCAATTAGTGGCCGACGTACCAAGTGGACTCAGCCTCATTCCATCCCAAGAAACTGAAACAAGAATCTGACTAAACTTCTTCTTCCGTCTCAACACAACAACTATCAGAAGCGCAGTTCAGTAGTTTGAAAATGTTTGTTAATGTGTGCCGCCTGATGATGGCTTCAGAAGCCGAAACATGTAGCACATTTTCATACAAGGATTTGTACAGAAAATACAATCGGAAGCATTCCTTAAAGATTAACTAAAATACTGTATGATTGAATGAAATTATGCTAATCTGCCAAGATTTAATTTTTCATTACGGTAAGGAGGACAGTAAATGAATCTTTCCTTCATTAAGAGCGACATCTTACGTCTTGTTCCCATAGAATCTTTGATACATAAAGACATTCTGTACAAAACAGGCCTTCACTTGTAAATTACATATAAGTGCTCAGTCTATGTATAAGAAACACACGACCCGTTGGTTATTAAAATTGCATTGAAATAGAGATAATCGGTATTTGCAGTATAATGGGAAGCTCTCTTGCTTGGTGATTTGGGAGTTCTGGCTTCATATCTCAACGTAGGTGGCACCAATTCCTACTGAGATAATTCGCGATTTACCTGTCCTTCAAGGCAAATATTGGAACACCATCTCAAATGTTCCCATGACTACTTCCTTCCAGATAATTTACAGTTCATCATTCATCATAGTTCCCAGTGTTAGGTGTACTGAAACCTGTGATATGTGTCACGGAACTGTATATCTTTCCAATATATCAGACTCCTTGCAGTATTTCTATCTGCTTTATAGTCTAAGGTCTTTTTCTGGACCCCTATCAGAGCTCTTTGGCCGGTCACGGTAGCCGAGCGGTCTAAGGCATGCACTGTCTTCGCTTGCTCGGAAACCGAGATCGTGGGTTCGAATCCCACTCAGGGCATGGATGTTTGTGTGCGTTTTTCTGTGTTTGTCTACAGGTAGAGGCCTTGCGACGAGCTGATCACTCGCCCAAGGAGTCCTACCGAATGTGTAAGATCTAGTAAACCGAAGTGAAACGGAGAGTTTCATGGAGGTAGGCCTAGGCCCAAATTGGGGCTGTAGCGCCACAGAAAAAAAAATCAGAGCTCTTTGGTCTTTCAGATTTCTCTTGTATTTTCCCCTGAACTCCGTTACTCTTGGAATTAGTAGCTCTCTCATAATTCCTTCATTTTTTGATGATATGTAAAGTTATATCCCAAAGTCCTCCTCACGAAATGCATTTCTGCTTACATCAATCTTTCATATCCATAATACTGTTACGTGTAGGAGTTGTACGTGTGACTTATAAGACGGGGTTTAAATTGGATGATTGGATTTATTAGCACCTTATACATTGACAACTCGGGACTACAGGCAATACAGCGCTATCGCTGATGTACACACTTTACAGTTCACCGTTACACAAGGACTATGAGTCCCAGTCTTCACTAGTCGTATCCTTGAAACAGATTTACAATCTTCTCACTGTAACTTGAAACCACACATGAAGTCTGCTTTGCACCGCCTAATTCCTTTCTTGCCATTATTCTGCAGCTACAAATTCCGAAGACTCGACGCAATTCAATTCCTCTGTTCCCAAGCTCATGTGCTGGTAGGCTAGAGCCTCGAAACTCTACTCTTCACTTCACTTTATGCTGCTGAACACTTCTTTATAACCACTTTGCACGGACAACACAGAAAACACAGCCTCTATTGTTAAGGAGGATTCTTTACAGATCCGTTTCTTAACAATGGATATCCTACTGTTGTGCGCGTTGGCTCCCGCAGGAACGTATTTATCGAGTCGTTGCCTAACAATTGGTATACACGTCACAATATATGTCACTCTGTTTTAAGAAGCCATATAGGATTAGCACCTGCCATAGTCATTAGCCGTTAAAACAGTCCGTGATGTTACTGCATGCAGAGCGGTAGATAATGTCATCGCTAGCTGTTGCAATGGGACGTTTATACGAATGGATATGCTATGCGTTTACTCAGTACCTAGTGAGCTGATGTAGCCGTAACGCTGTTGACTCTTATTCGAGAGGTTCTCGGTTTGAATTTCCCCTGGAACACCGATTGTTCTGAGGGTTTTCCTTGACTCCTTCAGTTCCTCCAGGCCCAAACCAGGCTAGGATCTGTCTGTATTATGACATGGCTGTTCCCTTCCAAGCCGTTGCGAGTCCATGCTATAGTTCAGTGTTACATAACCCAGCAACCTGCAGTGCCGTAAAACGACACACAAAACAAGATGACTCTGCTGTGCAATATTTGCGGCTATTACCGCTCGCTACAGACCACGTTTAGCACGTGCTCTTAGGTTCGAGAAAGTAGCGCAGAATCAGCCTTCAGCCTCCTAACGACACATCTGTCTCAGAGCGCTGTGTTTCCCATCCATCCCACACAGTCTATGTAACTGAGAAAGGGACATTAAACAAATGCTTATCCGAACCTTCACTTTCTTAATAACCTCTAATTTACATCTATTTACATCTCTACGTGTCAAATACTGATTCCCAATTGCTTGCCTAATGAAATGGAAATTCACTTCAGGAGGAAGTGGTGTTTCAGTTTGCTGCAGTTGCTTCTAGAGTCCGCGGCCAGGTACACCTGTGCCTGGACACTTAGATATAGAGACATACATGGGGAATTCAGGTAAAACTGCTCTTGTTCTTGACATTGGAACTAGAAGGAAGCGATGTTTGAAAAAGAATAAGCTTAAATAAAGAGTCCATAAAGTTCCAACGGTAAGCAAAAGTAAAAAATTGCACGTCATACATAAGGGGGCGCACGATAGTGTAGTTGGTTGAGACACTATGCTACAAGCCGGAAGGTCGTGGGTTGGAGTCCCGATGAGGTGGATTTTTTCAGGTGACCTAATGCTTCCAGCCGCACTATGGCCCTGGGGTCGACTAAGCCTCTAAGAGAAACAAATATCAGGAATCTTCCTTGGGGTAAAGGGCGGCCGGCGCTTAGGGCTGACAATCTTACCGCCATCTGTGAGCCGATTGTCTATAAAATGTTGGAGCCTCGACACGGCCTGTTACAGGGATAGCTTTAACTTTTACATCATACTCATACATAAATTATTGTAATGGATATGTCAAGAACTCTGCAAATGGTAACGGAATTTGAACCCTCCTCTCTACACTAATAGCTCCAGTCACTTCTTTCGCTTTCTCCTTCAGGATCATTAAGTTGCAGATCTACACAAAGAAAGGGGCATTTTGCAACTATTTCATGTGGGTTCTACTGATGAGTTATGAGTTTTCTTGCAGCACCAGATCTACTAGAATTTCTGTGTATGAAGAGTTGTCTCCTGGGATGAAACACCGTGAATCCAGTGAAACCAAAGAAAAATCCGGAGAAATATATCGTTTCCTTCTTCAGGTTCGAAGCGTAAGCTAAAAAGAGGAGGGAGGATTTAGCAAGAAGCTTGACTGGTTTCTTACGTATATTTTATTGCGAGATGTTCCTCCAAAACGTCGGCCAGCTTTCACCGAAATACACGGGTGGTATATCCCAGGAGGTAAAACTGTTCATAAGCACTGCTGTGAGAACCCCAGATCATACATAATTAATTAACCCGTTTTATAAGTCACACGCACCACCCTAACTCGTCACAATATATACAGTTATTTAGGACAACACAAAAGGGATAGTTCTCCATCGTTGACGTGGAACTTTCAACCATTCACAATAAAGCATTATGTGTTGCAAGTCACAGGTTCGGTACCCACCAATATGGAAGGAGAACTATGTGTGTTCATCGAGATAGAGGCGCCTCGCTCATTTATCATATTGGGACGTTAGGGGGCTACGCGTGACGAAAATAACGGGTTCTAGTTCGGATGGATATATTAGCACTTTGGTTACACGCTCCCTCTTAATTACAATTAATGCAACGCTATCGCTGATTTACACAATTTCCAGTACACCGTTGCACACACACTAGGATTCTCCGTCTTCGCTAATCGTATCCTGGCAACGTATCTCAACACAGAAACTAACACTTCAAGTCACTACCAAGTCTTCTTATTATTTCGTCTTCAGCCACTCTGTAGTCCTCTGTCCTGATGTGTACTCAATCTTCACAGTTCACTAAGGGCACGCTCCATTCTCGTCCTTGTGCTCTCAACT